TCCCTGGCAGGGCGATAAACTGGACATGCCTCAAATCAGGTCCTAATGACCACATTAGGTCAACTTTCCTACGATCATTGGTTAATCAGCACTTAATTCATGTCATTCTTACCTCAAAAAGCTTCTGATGTTTGCCTTTGCTTCAATATGTATTTACAACTCATGTTTCTATTTTCAGCAGGATTAATTTTGCTCTACAGCAGGAAATGAAAGGCTCATGTTATTTACAAAGGCAGACAAAATTTGGTATTGCCTACATCATATTCACCAGGATGTTGGTAGTTTTGGAGATATTTATTCTTCACATCACAAGTCATTTTACTGCATTGAAGTCATTCTGAATGACATAAACTATATCATGACTTCTAGCCAAAAAGTAGGTAGGTTGAGGATTATAGAAAAGCCCAACTCAGATGCATCCAGGTTCAAATCACATTTCTCACTTTCCTGTCAAGTACCTTCAGGCAAGGACTTAGTGTTGGACCACGTCTGTCTTCAAGTCTTTGAAGTGGGGTCACTTACAGCTTCCCTCCTTCCTAAAACATCGGTCTCATGAAATAGTTTGCAAAGTGTCCAGCACTGTGCGTGGACAAGCAGCATATGCTTCCGACTGCCACACAGCCTTTGAAAACCGTGGTTTTATCCATCGTGCGTAGAATGAGTAACTTAACATTTAAGTTAAAAACAAATCAAGCGACCCATGTTCAGGAGAAACATGTAAAAACTGTGTCATTTACGTGGCTCTGTCCCTCCTCTACCATTCGTAAGGCGCTTTGTAAACTGTCCCACTTGAAAACACGGAACAGTTTCATTGACTGGATTTGGGGTCACACGACGGCAATGTCTTACTCAGTGTTTGCTAAGTCTGTCTGTGTCGTCACCCCATCCACCGCACAGCCCCTGGGGTGTCGTTTCTGACATACAAATAAGATCACGTCTTCTTTGGGAGCAAAGCACAAGCCCTTACTCCTTCATCTCACCTCATTCCCCTCAAGGAAAATTCTGATCTGCTGGATCTCCACCCACCTCCGCACCCCACTCCTCACCACTCCTCACTCTTTGACTTTGTTTCAGTCATTACTCAGCAGGTCTGTCTACACCACATCTCACTAGCTGTCTACACCATGTAGCTTAAGTCATGCATGGCACGTGTGGAACGTATGTGACCCTCACTGTAATCATCACCCTTTGCTGACACTGTTCCTTCAAGGTCACCAGGGAGCCCCGTGCCACCTACCAGCCAGCCACAGCACAATCTCCCTTTGTCTTGACTTCTGACCTAATGTTGACCTAAAAAGTTGGCCAACCACTTATTCACGGATTTCCCCGACACTAGCCCTCCTCCATTTCCCTGACACAAGCCCTCCTCCTTCTCGTGGTTGCTAAGAAATATCACTGCCCTTCAGTTCCAACTGATCTCTTTCTTTCTTTTAAGATGTACTTAAATTTATGCATACAGAACTGGGGTACAGGCCAGAGAAGCAGGGGTGGTGAGAGGCTTCATCAGAGTCAGAGTGGGGAGCAGAATAGGAGACTGAGGGAGTACACTGCTGGGGGAGCAGTGGGCGGGTCAGGAGAGGCCTCTCATGCCATGTGTGTCAGATCTGGGGCGGGGATCGAACTTGCATGGAAGGAGCTGTGGCCAGCTTTGCAGTGCTGCACTCCAACCCGCTGTGCCACCAGGGAGGGCCCCTGATTGATCTCTTTCTTTTGCTGGCTACCTGTCAACTCCCTGGCCACTCCACTTTGGGGCGACACCAAGGCTCAGGCTTTGGGTCTCCCCTCTGTACACCCATTCCCTAGGAACATCTTCAGGACTCATGGTGTAGCAGTTCTGCCTAGCAGATGACAACCTCCAAGTTTCCCCCTCAGCCTACGCTTCTCCCTGAAGTTCAACCCCAACCATGCACCTGGCGTGTGCACTTGGATTCTGAGACATCATCACATGTCCCACATGAAGACCTCAGTCATCGCCAGCACTGCCCCGGACCCACCCAGATCCCACTGTGACTGTTCGCACACTAGAGATTGTTCTTCTGGTGGTGTGTTCTTGGCACCCTCCACTCTTCTTTCTACAGCATCACTTAGTCCCTGACATACTCCTCGAACAGACACAGAGATGGATATGGAGAAATAGAGAGATACATCAGAACAACTTCTGCTAAACTCCACTGGTCCCATCCAGGCCCAAGGCATAATCATTCCTTGCTTAGGTGGGTGCAGTAACCTGCCACCATTCCTGTTTTTGCTCATGACCCCCAACATCTATTCTCCACACAGTAACAGTGTGCAAACCAGTCACAAGCTAGGGGAGATTATGTCACCCCTCTGCTCAGCTCCTCTATGACCCCTGTGGATTTAACACAGCGTCACCCCTAAGTTCTCACCCAGACTACACAGCCCCCTTGATCTGGCTTTCCACCCCACCCCATCACCCCACCTCATCAGTGGCTACTATGCTGCCTTGCTACTTCTTTGCCTTCCTTCCCCAGACCCCCAAGAATCCCCCTTTGCTCTGGAAACATGCTGGACATCCCCCCACTGCCCAGCCTTTTTGAACTACAAGTTCTGTTCCCAACACACTTTCCCTAGATATGGACAGGGCCAAGCCCTCTCCTTTCCTTCATGACTGACTCAAAAGTCACCTTCCAAGTAGGGTTTCTTGGCCACGCTATCAAAGACAGTTATCTTGATGATTTTCTGTCCTTTCCTTTTGACACGAGGCCAGGGATTTGGGCTGATGTGGATTGCTACTGTATCCCCAGAGTCGAAATCAGTGCCAGTACAGAGGTGATGCCTCATAAGTGATGATGGGATGAATTAGTTCACTCTGGTTTGAAAGTCGCTCGCTAGCCCGTATTCACACTTCCGGTTATCAGTGACAAGTCTCCCAAACCACTAACCCCCAAATAGTATTATTATGTGAACTTGCTGATTCTCTAAGAAAACAAGTCCTAACTCTGAAACTGCTTTGATGAAGTGTTTTGATGACGGAAACACATTCATGTTACTTTTCTCAGTGTTCACGTATGAGTGATTTTTTTAGTCTTCACTCCAGCTATGGTTTTGCAATTAGCAAACCAGTTGGTTCCAAACTATATGCTGCCTGGAAGGGTACCAAGCCCACAGAAGGAGGCATGGCACCCAGAACTCCAGGATTCTCGATCTCTCCCAACACTCCCTGAGCCAGGGCTTGCTAATTTCAAGGTGGGGTATAGGCTCTAAAGCAACCCAAGAATTTATGCAGAACTGTCATTTTGAAGTGGAAACCACCTGCAGCGACTGGCATGAAAAACCTATAAATGTACGTTTAAAATAATGTATTTTAAAATAATGTATTTTAAACAGGGTGATTCAAACACTGAAGATGTCTATTACTGCTGTAAGATTAAGAATCTTTGAGGACATGTATTTTTTTTTTCTGTTAACAACAGTGCAAGGATCAGAAAATTTGAGAACCAGATAGAAAAAAAATCAATAGGAATTCTTGCAGCCCAAGTCTCCTTACCCCTCCGACAACACGCACACCTACCCGCTTAGAAACACTGCAGGTGTCAGTGCCAGCCACGCGCACGCCATTTTCTCCCTAATTTCAGCCCTGGGGCTCTGCCAGTCCAGCCTCCCCCCAACTTGGGCAGCCGGCCTTCCCGTTACGCCTAAGCTGCCCAAGCAGTGGCAGCACAGGCTGCCAGCGGCTCACCTGCAGCACCTGGGCCCCCTCCTCTTCCTGGGGGTGACGACTGGGAAGGCCTCCGGGCCTGGGTCTGCACAGGCTGGGCCGGCTCTCGCCTTGATGTGGCTCAGTCACTTCATTTGCAAACGTACCAAGTTGCCAAACTTCTCCTGCCCTCTGCCAACCAGACTGCTACTCCTGAGGCCCTGGGCTGGCACACACCAACCTCAACTCCAAAAAGCTAGGGAAGAGTGAGAATCTCCCCATTTCTGTAAGCATCCCTCAGCAGCAGGCCCCAAAGCCCCCTGCTCTTCCAGGCCACAGCAGCAGTGACCCCGTGGAGTGAAAAGAAACCCTGCACGTCGGCACACAGAAGCAGCCAGCTCCTTTTTATCCTACTTATCTTCGCAGTCATCTATTTGTGTCAAGAAAGGAAACATATGAGCACAGCATCTGTTACCGGGGGGGACACAGTTACCAAATACTTTCAAAAGCGAAAAAAATCGACCATAAATCTGGGTGAGTTGTCAGGTGTTTTAGGAGACAGAACATTAGTCTTTCAATCAAAGTGTCTTGTTTAAGCGGAACATATGGTGTGAACAGCAGAGACGGGGGTTCGGTGTGGGCTCCCATGGGCATTCAGGGCCGCAGGCGTGCCAGAGCCTCGGGGCCCGGGCGCGGGCTCCTCACTGCCAGCCGGCCCTGCCCCTACAGTGAGCAGGAAATCAACCCCAGGATTCCTGGTGGGCCACTGTTCCCTGTTGTGGGGACCTACTGAATTCCACGACAGGCGTGGGGGAGGTCTTGCCCTTCCCCAGCGCGTAAATGTAGGCAAGACAGACACAGCCACGCCACAGCAAAGCAGCGGAATTCAGCCACTCACTGGAGGTTGCCTTTTTGCTACTTTTGACATCCAGGGAGCCTGGTGGGGCTGGGTCTCCGCCTGACTTCCCTACAAGGACATGCGAACAGGTCACATGACTCGGTCAACACTGTGACTTGCACGACTGGTCTGTTTGGCACCTGTTCTGGATACGGGCAACACATCGGAAGTGCTTCTTTATTAAATGTACCTTCATTGTAAGCTTAGTTCTCAGACTGGAAACATGGAGGAGGGGGGGGGAGCACGGGGAATAAGATGGCATCACTACCCCCAGAAGTGCCCGCCTGGTGTTACTCTGGACGCAGCAGGTGCATCCCTGGTGACACCCAGGCCGCAGCCTGGCCCCAGCGGCTGCTGTCGAAGCTGTGCCACCCCACCCGGCACCCGGAGGCTCCCAAGGACCCCACCGACGCCCAGATGCCCCCCGGGGCCGGAGCCGTTTACCTGCCAGGCTGCCCGGCCTCTGGAGCGTGGCCGTGGCATAGAGTTCCTGCGAGTGCTTGCCGTAGGGCTCGGACGCGTGCACCAGGCGCTTGGTGGGCGACAGGGTGGCGTAGGTGCCTATGGTGGAGCTCAGCTGGTGGATAGGGGAGGAGGAGAGGGTGGACTGCACGGTGGGCGGCGAGGTCACGCGGATCGGGGACAGGCCGGCCGAGGACACGACGATGTTGATGGGCGAGCTGGTGCTGTAGGACTTGGCCAGGCGGCTGGGCGACTGCTTGGGCGAGGAGCCGCGGGGCGCGGCGTAGGCGGCGCCCTCGG